GCTTGAAGTTGTTTAACTCGGGGGGAGGGGGGTGGGGAGGGGGTGGGTTACGCGATGCTGTGAGCAAGGAATGGGAATCTGAAGCGATGTCAGCTGCTGCAGTAGCTTAGAGAGCTAGTTAGTTCAGTCAAAAATGGGCTGTCTTCCACTGATCGCATTCATCTTACTGAGCTAATAGTATGAATACCCTTCCTTTGAAAAGAAAAAACGGACGTATGACTGCAGGCTCCATATGATTGCGTTAGTGTCTATAACTGTCTGGGCGTCTCCCACATGAACGTACTATTTGTCGGCGTCCTAAAGCTCTATTGTGAATGATCCGACCATGACAATGCCGTCATCACACGGCCACTTTTGGCGGCCAGCCCGGTTTTGTAGCCCTTATTGCGTCCTATCCAGACGGTTTTTAACCGAAAACGTCCCGTACTCGGGGACACAGGTTTATCCAGAGAGAAAACCTGGGAAAATTGTTTTATCGTAAATCGTGCCTTTAACTTTTGCGAATAAAAGAAAAAGTCTCAAAAAGGATCGCACAGAACGCGAAAAAATCTCTCAAAAGTTGGAGAAAAAATTAAATTAAGAGCATGAATACGATGAGCTGCCTAGAGGATTTCATTTCTGTAATCAGATGGAAGTATGTATTGAAGGGGAAAAAGCAGAAAACTATCCTGGTTGAAATTCTCACGAATACCGAACCTTTCAGAGGCAGTGGTATTGCATGTTGGTAGACATAGAGCCTGTCGAGAAGGATTGGATCGCTACATCATAGAGTTGGTATAGACTGGCATTCAACCAAGTCCCATCGAAAGTCGAAGTCTAGCCCTGAGAAGCCAACCTTGTGAGATTAGTACTCAACACTGGTTAAGTACAGATCTGCCCGATTTCACTGAATAGATTCAACTGTAATTTAGAGAGCCTTTTTTGTTAATGACATAGAATAAAGTACGGTCAAAAAGCCAAAAGCACGGATTTCGAACAAACGGGTGTGTCCGAAATTGAAAGTAATGGGTGGGCAGTAAAGTACGTGGTGGGCGGCTATATTGCGGGCTAATCGGGGATGATAGGTCTAGCCGATACTAGTTCTACTGGTCACGTAAGCCGGTTGGGAACGAGGTTCCAATTATGTGCGCTTTTTACTCATGCATATTACGTTGGCGAATAACACTTTATTCAGTTCAGCTGCAAATGTTTTGTCCCCCCGTGGTACAGAGAGGTTACGAGTTGCAAAAAATATGGATATTTTTGGGTTACTGTGACGGAAGGATGATAACTCAGGAAGGAAATGTTAAAAGTACATGAAAGCGCAGCCTTTTCTACATCCAGTCTGCTTGTCAATGTTAGGGAATAAACCTTATTTGTTCATATATTTATTCACCTAATAGGCGCGTAAAACCAAAAAAATTCACCAAAAAACAAAACAGAGAGAAAGGTAGACAAAGAAAGCGTTTTCTTCTCAATACTTGCTCAGTTAATGATGTGGTAGCGGAGTAATTCGAATGGAGGAAGTTAAAAGTCAAATTACCCTGAGAAACAGGGGAAAACCGATTCTAAGCAATCTCCCCAAAATTTATAGGTTCAGTCCCCTCTGTTCCCTGATATTATGTCTCGCTGTCTATCAAACAGCACAGGCTTCCGATCGAAAAGAACTCTGTTCACAAGCATCAATTAGCTGAGAACTGCGAAAGTTTCAGTACTCGAGAATGCTCAGGAATCAGTTAGTGAGGGAGACAAGGAAATAGAATGTATGTCCCAGACTATTGTCCCTTTAGCATTTCACCATGCTCAAGTCAGAATTAAGGACCATCAATGCATTTTCTCTTCTCTACTTGACGGAAGTGGAGCGACAGAATGAATTGAATGAGATGAGACGTGAGATGGCCAGAAGATTGAATGGGAAAACAGAGAAAGGCGTTCAACGGGAGACGTCTGTCTGATCGAGTCACCCGCCAGGTGAATCCGAAAAGGAAGTCATCAACACTCTCATACGCGGTAGGGTTTTCTTCGTGAAGATAGCACCTCAATCAAGGCTCAGTTCGGCTGAAGAGGCCTGCGAAAGACCTAAATGGCCTGTCGTGCTGGGCAATGCTGTCCCAAGCAACCCCTTGAAGGGTTCTGGGAAGAATCGGGCACCCTTTACTTTCCAATGCACTGTGTCAGCCCTTTGTTGTCGATGACTCAAGAGAAAATGGGGGTAATAGGACGCTGACTTGCAAGAAAATCATTCCCACCCATAGTAAAATTCACGAACTCGTTATCAAAGGTCCACTCCTACCCGGGATACCTTCGGGTCCATCTTTGTGGGAGGAACAATTACTACGGATAGTTTGGGGCTGGTGGACATCGAATACTGTTTGGAATGTTTCACAGGTTGCGGCATAAGCCGAAAATGATGGTCATTAGGTCCTAGCGACGAGGTGGAATTATTTGTGCAGCACTCATCCATAGTGTTTGTTTGTTTACATACCGGCAAGGTATATAAAGGGAATATTCTGAGAGGCAAGCTGTGATGACTAGTTCAATATGGTTTCAGGTAATTGAATTAATTGCAACCTGGTTCCATAGTTCTTTTTCTATGCTACAGAGTTGCAGTAGATAGTAGTACTAGATACAGTAGATAGTTGTAGTAGATTCGCAATAAATTGTCAATCTAAATCAGCGCTCCAAAGCTGGAAATTCCCTGTTGGATTCAACGATTGAACACTTCGACCGCACACTTCACGATAAAGAATGACTCCTGAAACATGCCCTGTCGATGAGTCTGTGGCCTCTTTGCAAACCAAATGTGGCACTATCTTGTTGGAAAACGGCTTAAGCAAGCCATTAAGAGGACCCAAAGATCGTATCGGCAGTATGCCACGCCTAAGGCGGACGAGTTTTAACGACGTTGTACAGGCTGTTTCAAAAGGCCACACCCTCTGACCCCCTGTAGAAATTCACACAGCTAGACTGTGAACCATGCCAATGGTGTGATTCAGTTTTGGGTATTTGTTGCTTAATATAGTCAGCTCTTTGCGCATTTGCAATAACTGGAATCTCGTCCGAATACTGCCGTTCTCGTCGTAGTAATATCGGACAACCTGGATTTTCAATACTTTTAGGAAGCCACATGCTAAGTCGGCGGAGTTTCTCGCTTTCTAACACCGATGCCTACTTTTCTGCTTCCCAACTTAAAAGGATGCCTCAAATTATTTTGGAATGCGCTTTTAACGCTGACTCGTTTTGTTGTATTTGGCTTCTACAGCTTCAAACTCTCTGTGCTGTTGGTGGGAGTTGAGCAGCTCATTAGGAGATGGTTGTTTTAATGAAACTTGAGCGGAACTCGCGTTTCAAGCCGCTCTTCGTTGTGTTGAAGGAAGCGGATGACATAAGAATAGTGGTTCTTTCTCAACAGTGCATAATTGGAGTTCGTCTCAGGTGGACGGGAGAGGGGATGGGGAGAGGGAGTTGGCGGTAACCACTCAGATGCGCATTCAATTAAGGTAACGTATTCTTGAATTGCCTTTAGGTCACTACTGCATTCATTTCCTACCATCTGTTGCCTTCATTGCGTAGCGCACTTTCTAATTGGCTCAAAAATGGAAACGCGGACTCTGGTTTAAAGGGGTTTTATATGAACAGATGAAGGCTATCATAGTGTTGCTTGCAGCCTTTTTTACCCTTTTTATAGCTTTAAAGTGTATAGAATGAAGGAGACCTTGTCAAAACCTCTTTTACGAGGACGGTAAAACAGAAGAGACTGTTTTCACACCACATTATCTGACCCTAATCTGGGAGGTCGAATTGTTTTCGAGGTTCTACCAAACCGAAAGACATATTGTTCTAACGTAAAACTGACAAAACTTCACTGCCTGATTTGTCAACACAAAATGCTCGTCTGTAATCTTCACTTTCGAAATGCGCGATTTATCCGATCTGCATCTGATTCCCGATGGCTTACGGTGGCGTAAAACTGAATTGAAGGGACCACAAACGAGCTACAGGGGTTGAATGTATCAGAGGCGTTCCTTGAGGATTTTGGACTCCTAGGTGAGGAAATATTTAGGTTCGCAGAGCAAAGAACTTGACACTAGGTAGAAATCAAGACATAACAATCCCAAACTCAACCTCGCACATTTGATTATCAGCCATAGCAGGGGAAATGTTCAATGTGATTTACCCTTACCCTGGGCGAACCTCAATACTTTCGCACTTTTGCTAAATTTTCGGAATTTCGCTTCAGTACACAAAAGAGACACATATTCAGTAAATTTTACTGAATTTGAAATGTATTTCGTTGGTAATGAATATGAATGAGCAATTGTTGTCTTGGGATTGAACATCGTCATGCAATGACAGATGTCATTGCAGGTATAGCGGTACCGAACTTTAGCTGATCGGTGTCGTTCGGATCGGCTTTCTCCTTTGAGCGAGAACGACTAGACTGGGCTGAACGACTCGATTTTCTTGTATTCTCATCCGTTCTTACGGATCCCTGTTTGAAATTTCCTGGTGGGATCATTGGAACTGCTGTGTTGCTATAGGAATACATCGGGACTGCAGTAGGGGTAGAATATGAGGGAGTCACCACCGGAGTGACAAGCACAAGTGGACCTGAAAAGAACCGCATTATGTTTCTGCACCATCTTTGTCTGATCGCTCTAGTTGCATATCGCCATACACTGGTTGCCGTTTACTTTTACTATCAGGTACCTAGGCCAACTAGGCCTACCTTAATTCCGGGGGTCGGTTGATTGGTCTGAGAGGATCAAAGCACTGACTTGTACATCGGCTGGCTACCACTAGGCATTCTATAGGCCATATAGGCATTCACTGCGTCACTACGATTCTGAATGGAAGTCAAATGCGTAGGCTCACTCCTCAAACGGGATTGGTAACTCCCCCAAGACTTCATCCATTATCCTTTCATCAGGTGCGTGAGCGGAGATTGTGTAGTGGTAAGAGGCGCACGCTATCACACCCTCGGTGAGAGGAATGAATCCCTGATCGCTGTTGCCTGGACCAACCAAGCCTTCTGTCTATAAGGGGCCGGTTCATTGGTACCGGACTCTCCTAAGAGTACTGCGGAATACATACATACATCGGTTGACCACAGCAAGTTATTGTATAGGCCACATACCCATTCCAACCACCCATATGATTCCTAATAAACTTCGAGTGCTAGGGGCATCCCAATAACTGGACCGATTAACGCTGAAAATTTGTGTATCGTATCTAATCGCCGTTACGCGTTTCTACGAATTCAGGTAATTACCGTCTTTTTTTGTAGCTTACAAATGTTCAATTGGAGGTGTATGTCAGCAGAACATACCTTGTGGTTCGTCGCTTCTTAAGAAGTACCAGCAAACGCAGTAAATAAGATAACAGCAAAGAAAAATCGTTGGTAACAGTAAGAGAAAAGAGTAGAAAGCCTTAATACGAGATGTGAGTATTTGTAAAGGATCTTTAAGAGGAAGACTAAGAATAGTTCAGTATTTTCATGATGCCGCTAGATTTCTTCAGTGGCGACTAATAACAAGCTCTAAATGGGTGAGAAAAATACGCACCTCTCCAAAGGGCAAGTCTGGTAGTGGCAAAACGAGTAAGCGCATGACTGAGCCATACTCTGGCTGTGTTTTCTTCCGATCCTGTGCAGCAGGATAAAGATAAGAAAGCGGTCTGATACTATCCCATTATCTTTCATTTATTTCATAGCAGTGGATTTCGGTTTAGAAGCGGTATATCGGTTTGTCGACATGTATGTGAGTGTGTGGGTCTTTCTGTCCGCAAGACCCCATGGTTTAAAAAAAGATGGTAATATGGAGAACCCACCGAAAACCATGGTAGTAACAGTAAGGAATACAGGAACGAGAATTCAGTCCGGCACTCAGCTCTTACAGTAATCCAGCACGTGTTAACACGCAAATTTTTACCCGTCACATATAGGACGCGTCGAAAAGGGGCTTTGGGCAAGGACACGGGGGTGGCCGGTCGGGTAAGCCGGGGGGTTACTGTAAGAGCCGAGTGCAGGACCGAATTTTCGTGATAGGGTAAAGAATAAGCTTCTGAAAATTCGCTGTGTGCGTGAGTGCCTTTGCGTGCGGGTGTGTGTGGATGTGTGAAAGTGCAAATTCACAGCTCTCACAATCAGATGTAGCTCTGGAATTGTATTTGTTCCAGGCGCACAATCCAGAAAGATGAAGAGGACGTAGGTGAAGAGGGATGATAACAGTTCATACATATGAGCTTAGAATGCAGATGCCTGTAGCCGTTACGCCTCTCATGTTAACAGAGGACCCGGCACTTTGGTTCTGCGTCGCTTTGCATTTNTTTTTGCGTGAAACCGTGAAGCATCACCTGCACAACATGACCCCTATACGGTTGGAAAGTGATTTCCCCAGAGAGCAGGTTAAAGAGAAGAGAAAGGTTGGCTAACAAAAGCTGCCTGTCGCATCCGAAAAAATTGTCCTACGGAATTCCTGTTCACAGACGAGAAAAGATTCACAGTGAAATAGGTGCTCAATAAGTAGAGCGATAACATTTATATGAAGCTTAAAGAAATGAAAGTGATACAGCGCCTGGCTCACTAACTTTCTGTGATGGCGTGTACCAGCATCACCGCCGGGGCAAAGACACCGATTATTTTTGTAAATTATGGAGTGGAAGTTGGTTTGGAGGCCTGTTTGTTCTCTTCGTGAGCAATAGGACACTTTGATGATTCGAACCGGTTATATTGTCACGATGAAGCTCCTGACTGCAGAACAGAATTTGTCTAGAAATTTCGTGAAAGGGGTTCTTTGACTTCATAACCTTCGATCAGTGACCACTCTGGAGCCCTGACCTAAATCCCATAAATGTCTCAATGTGATCAGCCTCTGAGATGAAAGCATCCTTTAGCCCAAACATGAGAAGAAATAATCTCGAAAATGCTTAGCAAAAAGCCGGGACCATTTCGATGATCCTAGCTGCGTGCCACCGTCAATGCCGTCCATCGTCGTCTTTGGGGTTGGGTGAAAGCAGAAAGCAACAGATCCCGGTCCCAATGTACTATTTTGATTAGAGATTAGTGATAGACACTTTAATGAAATTGGTTTGCTCTATTGGCTTTCTATTCGTTTTCTGCGATGTGATTTCTGTGTAATCATAATTTTGGCCCACCCTGTAGAGTGTTTACAATTGAAGACCTTCCAATTGAATCAACTACCACTCTTATTTCATCGGAATAGGCTCTCGCCCCTTCCGCGAGCCAGAGTGATCCACTGAATCGTCCTTGCTCGAGGGACACGAGGCGTAACATTTCTCGAGAGATTTCGTGAATAAGTTTGACCATCACACCGGCGGCCGTCCTGATGTTCGTTTGACGTCACAAGGGATCCACCGAGTGACCGCTTGGATCCAACGGTCATCACGAAATCGCACGACGTGTCCGACTCAGCTGATCTTTGACTTCTTGGGGTAAGCAACGCCGTCGAAAATGTCAAGTTAATCTACAAACAGCATAAAATAAATCAATTAAAAGGTCGTGGTAGGACTCAATGGTTCATTTTCTTCGTAAAACCTTCGAATCAATAGGTTTCAAAGGGAAACAGAGGATACAATGGAAATGCAACGGTATCATGAATACAATAGGTACATATGCAGTAAGGTTAACAAATGTTCAATTGAATTTCGGAAACTATAAGAAAAACATTTGTTGCTGAGTGATATGTGAAAGATAATGATTAGATACGGTAGATATTAGACAGCGAAAGTGAAATGACCAGAAAGAGTAAGACCAGGTAACGGCCGAATACGCATATAAACGACATGAAGTGCGAGATCAGGGAGCGATGGATCTATCAACAATACTATACACATAGTAAATACCAAATTGTTATTGAGTAACACAACTTTTCTGTTTTTTCATTCCTGTAGCTTCTAGAAAGGATTTTCGATGTCGATGTGATTTACTTTGTTTTTCCATGACATAAGCGTTGCCAATCTGGAACGCTTCTTCGAAAACTTCCTCGAGACCTTCCTGAAATGAACCGGGAATCAGGAAAATGGTGAATGTTGAAGGGTTGACTCATTGAGTTCAGCTAGGTGAACTTTAGTTCCTCCTTTGAAGAGAGCCTCGTTGGTATGACGTGAGAACCACGTGAAAGTATCCCTTTGTACTCACCCCAGTGATCTCTGAACATTCGAGATATTTACTGGCGCCGATCTGGTTTGCAAGTTTTTCAGCACGATGAAGAGGCATCGGCAGACTGTCAATATTACAGTTATTGTTGTTGTTGTTGATATTCGTCAAAAGACGTTTCTCGATCTGAGTTCCCACAAGGGCAAACGGTATCCCACGGATACGGTCATGTACAGTATTCAGTATCTGAATCGATTTATTCATTTAGCAGTAATGTTCTCTGGAATTTACAAGTTAGTCTGGACTTACTTTCCCAATCGTCTCCTCAACTTTGTCTTGTCGAGCTACCGAAACGCAAAGTAAAAACACATGCACGTCATCGCTGTCGTTTACGTAGGCTGACTGTGAGTCAATGAATGTACATTTCCGACCATTGAACGCCGTTACCACTTGTTTATTCTGAAATACAGGCCGGATGAGCCCTGACCTTGTCCTATGTTGATTGTCAACGAAAGGAGGCTTACCGTAACGTCATAAGGAACACCAGCATAGTAAGCATATTTTTTGAGCATCATCTCCTTCCCACTGGTGGAATCGCCGATTATCACGCATCGTACTACATCCGTATCGGCCAACTTAGTCATTTCGGTTGGTTGTTCTGAAAATATAAAGGAAAATCTTATTGAGTTGTATATCTAATAAAGAAAATTCTATACAGGAGGAGATAATGAAGCGAATTGAATAACTATGTCAAAATCAAATTATCAAGACTGCATGAAGTGAAGTATATCTACTAAGCCGTACATCACCCCCCAATGTCCCCACAGGTTTGATCCTGACGTTATTATCTGGGAAATGGTTGTCTAGTGGAAGGGCGTTTTCCGAGGATGATAACATTTGGTCAAAACTTAGCCCGAGTGAGAGTTTGCACCTGTACCGATGTTTTCCGAGCGCTGTATTCTTATTGTTGATGTACCTGGCCTCCACGACTTAAACCTTTGCTTCTTAAATCAATGTCTACCACCATGTGTATTCCATAACAATCTCCTACTTCACTTCTTGATGGTATCACCCAAATCAAGCAAGTCCTGGCATTACCCTGAAGGCGAAATTGAGAAGAGTAAGGTGCCCAGAATGCACAGGTGCCGGTCCGATCATGTGACACCCAGTTTCATTTTGATTGAGTGAAACTCCGGCTTGGGTGATAGACCTCCCTCCTCTTGCTTTCCAGGCTGATTAAATAGTTTAATCTTATTTGAGATGGCAGAAACAGTGCTGTTAAATATTCCTACTCTTATCTCCTTTTAGCAATTCGTGAAAAGTTGAGAGGAGGAAAATGGGTGATGCATCACCAAAGAGGGTTGCGGGAGAGGAGGAGGAGGAGTCGAAAAAGAGAATGATAACGACCGATTGAGGAGGAATTCACAAAAAGGAGCTCCCGTAAGGCACGTGAGATGTGGCCGCTCACTGGTCTCCTTCTGATAACATACGGAACTATTCCAACTACACTTTTCTGTTTTTTTCTAACAATTGACTTCATTCTTGATTGTATTGAGATCTTTCATTGAAATACCATCTAATATTGAATTATGTTTCTTATTCATAGTGGAAATACATATTTTTACAATACAACTTGGTTGACAACTAGTTAATGTTATAGTTTCAATTGAAGTTTTTCAAGTGTAATAGATTATGTTTGGCGATATCCAGAAATAAAAAGTGATACCTTTTTTGGATTTGCGTCTGAGCGGAAACTTCATGATGGTTGAGCAGCTGTGATTAAGAAGTGGCAGTTGGGCTTCCTATGTTTATATAGTCACTTACTGGTCTCTTTTTGATCACATACGGAGGTGTACGAGAAATTCGTGCCGCTGTACGCAAACAGACATCATGTCGAGTGCATGTGAGGATCATGTATGCACGGAAATAGTCAAGTAATCTGCATGAGGAGCGTAATCTGCACGAAAAGCGGCTCTGTTTTCCCAGTGAACAGATACTGATAGTCAGCTTAATCAATGATCAATGGTAAGCTCAATTCAATTCGGAAGGGTAGGCGAAAGATCAGACCGTAATGAGCTAGGACAGTTCGTGGAGGGAACGAGGAATTCGAGAGCACGTGTTTTTCGCGTGCTTCAGAATAGAGGGATCAAGGACATAAAGTTTTTTGTGAGTAAAACTTACAGAAGGCCCGTTTAGAAAGCTATTCGGTAAGATCTCTATAAAAGTAAAATTCATTCAAAATCTATATTTTCTCCTCAATAGCATCGTCCCTATGGTGATGGCACTTCTTCAAAAATAGACGTTTCGAAGACGAAGACGTTTTATATTGTCCACCTCGCTGAAAGCATCACCACAATTGCTTAAAAATGCAAATAGTTAAATTGGAAAGTTCCGCGAGAGGCGCTTTCATGAATATTAAGAACAAAGGATTTTTTTGGGACGAGTTGAAATTTTATTGCCCCTCCACAGTTCAATCTAAAAAAATAACAGA